AAAAAAATAAACTTCCTGTGTGGAAAAACAAGAAAAGTAAAAAGGGTTCCGTTTTCCGTTTACTTTGAATAACGTTTGAAACGAATTAATGCTGTATGTGTTCAATTTAATTAAACACTCGTGTGTGAAAAAACAAAACACACACACACACACACATTCGAATGAATTAGTTACGTTACTACCATTTGAGTGTGCTTGTAAAATGTAACTATGAAAGTTTGAATTAATCAAGATACACACAATTATTCATTCATGTAATAAATGTCGTAATCAGGAATCAATAAACAAAATATTATTTGTTTATTTAAGTGATCAAGAATGGTTCACTCCATGATCGAACATATGATAGAAACATCGGATATGGATATTATAGATATATTTCTATTAAACCACACATCATCATCGCCAGTCACATTAGAAATTAGTGTAAAACACATCCACGTGATGTGGTAGGCTTAAGAACCTTGTACTTGACATTTATATTACAACGAAAACAACCTAAACACATTGGCGAAACGTATGGAAAGAATTAATAAAGAATGTTAGGCCTTTGTTTACAACCTATCTAGCTAAAGAAACAAACAAGGTGTGTGCTATGAAAAATGTTCATTTAGGCTATGCATAAAATTTTAGAATTAACTAATTATATTCGGTCATTGAATGGCCAACAAATTTAGTTTCCTGTTCGAGCAGTGCCAATGAATAATAATACGTAACCACTTCTCTTTTGTATAAAAATATAATTTATTCCCAAGAAAGCTAATTGGCTTGTCTTTTTCTTTTTCTTCTTTTATTTTTTTTTTTAAATAATTTCGTAAAACAATTGTGGCATACATTGATGGTTGACTGAGCTACTTAACAACGAACGCATAAAAATACTTTTGGCTACATTAATTCTTCTCGTCCTTCATTTATTTATTTATTTTATTTGAAAATAGTTTTTATATTTTATTATTTCTATGTGATGGTGGTGTGTCCTGTGCAAGTGGACGGAGTTTAAATAGAGCTTTCAAATTCGATGCAGTTAGTAGTTAAGGGGGGTTGACCCCATAATGGCCATATACTCGAAGAACTTCTTCTTCTTATTCTTTTCTTTTTTATTGTTTAGAATCAAATAATTTAATTCGAAGTTACGTAAAAGAATTAGTAACATTAATTTGGCTGATGGATTGATTCAAAAAACAATTACTTTTTCTTTACTCAACGCTCAAATGAATTTTTTTATATGATTGTAATAAAAGTAATATTTCATACTTTGTTTTTCCTTGATTTATTTTTTTTTTTTAACTTTTCTTAATTATGTAGATTGATTGTGTGTTTTGGGGGTTAAAATAGATACATTGTTTTGATTTTATTACAAATGTTACATTTTCAACTTATAATCTCTAAAATTAGGTGGAAAATGTTTGTTGAATTGTTACGCATATAGCATAACAAATCATACTCATACTTTAAGACGGAAAAAGAACGCGACAAAAATACTATGTATATATCCATAAAAGATGATGTACTATTTAGCCTGTTTTTAAGCAATCAATACCATAAATGAGCAAATGGGAATAATTAGTGTTAGGCCAGAACTGTTGATGACAATTCTAACATAAATGCGAAGGTCCAATTTTTCTATTTTCCAATTAATTAATTTAACAATAATCTACAACGTAATGGCTTACTGGCTTAACTGAAGTTATTATTAAAATCTTGTGGACCGGCCGGCACCGTAGGCTTTCTAAATCTAGGCTAACAAATACTGAGCTGGACCGCCACGGCTGCTGATGCTCGAAAGGGTTGATCTATGCCGTCTATCTTGCCGGCACCAAATTAACAACAATACCTGGAGGGTGACGATTAGGCATATCAGCCGGAACCAGAACTCTGTCGCGGATAAGCTCGCATAATTCGGGTTGTCATGCCCGGTTGGTCACCACATCTTATCGACGCACCCTTTTTTTGTTAGAGAGAAGCTAGAAATCGATAAATTAGGATCATTCCAATACCAAAAGGAGATTTTGTAAATTAAACCCGGGTTGGCTTCCTTCATATATATATATATATATATATATATATATATATATATATATATATAAAAAATTAACAACAATACGATATGGTATTTTAATTTGGATCTCCCAAATTTCCTAGCCAATTATTTCAAATGAGTGTAATTTATCAAGTAATAGCGATATTCTCCAAGAATTTAGATTCCTCCTGTCTCAAAAGGAAAAAGAAAAAAAATCTTTATGTTGATATAAAACGGTATAAAAACAATTTATTTTTTAGACAAAAAAAATGAAAGTTTATTTTTTTTAAGCAGGAAACGTGACAGTTGTAGAAAGTTTATTTTTTTTCCTAAAATTAAGTAAAAAAAAAAAAGGAGGGGGGGGGGAGTTTCTATGTAAAAGCAAAGAAAAAATTAAAAGAAAAAATAATTCGTAAAATTAATCCTTAAACCAAGAAAAAATTAATTCCTAAAATTAATTTCTATACTCAAGAAGATTGGCTGTAACAACACAAATTCTGCTCATCCGTATTTTCCACGATCTCTCCATTAAAATCAAATTTCAAAAGATATTTCGTCAGTTAATTTTTATAGTTGTACAAAATAAAAGTTTATTTTAAAACAAAATCATCGTAAAAATATATTCCCTCCGTCTCAAAAAAAGGGCTCACATTGAGTTTTGAGTTTTGTACTATTTTCAGTACAAATTTGGAAGCTCAATGTGGACTATATTTTTGGGATTGAGGTAGTATTATTTTTTAAATAATTACATATCAATCCTTTATAAGTCTATAACACTAGTGGAGTATTATATAGAACGCTTTAGAGAAAAGGTCCAGAAGGATGTATGGATCTCACGTCATTACTTCCAATATTCTCGCTCAAATGGTGATGTGCAATGGCTTATATACCCAATTTTTTTCCATTGTAACCAAGAAATTTATTTTTGAGATGAAAATGATAAAAATATTGAATTCATTATGTGAAAACACAAATTCACTCTATGTATATTTACTGTCCCTCTATCATTAATTAACATCTATAATTTATTTACAGTTTCATCACACGTACGCTACATGCAACACTTCTACTGAAACCAGTGAAAATATGGTACTCCACTAAATAGTTTAATTATTTCATGTTTCAAACATAATCTATTTTATAACTAAAAAAAATGAAGAAGAATGAATAAATGAATTCTACTAGTTCTATATCCAAGTTTTTATCCTTTTTTTTTGTTTTGAAATAAAATTTTTACCCTTCATTTTCAGGAATCACGGGCAGTTTGACTGAATCGTCTACCTTAAATAGTTGTCATCTACCTCGTGTAAACAATTCTTAAAAATGTCAGCAAAGTAGCAAGTTACTGTCCGTACGCTTTCACCATTTTGGACCAACCTAGTGAAGTCGCTAAATTATTGTAGCATTGAATTCACTCACTTATATGATTATCTCTATAACTCTTTTGGCAAGTGGAAGGGAAATTAAGAGCGATTAAAATATTCAGTTTAACGGAAATGTTCACTCAAAGAAATTTCAGTGAACAGATCATTAGAATTAGTCGAGCCATTCGGACTCGTGTGAGTGTATTCGATACCAAAATACATTCAGTGATTTCTCCATGTGAGAGGCGGCTGAAGCTGGCGCATAATCACTTGCATTGTGTGCGATGAAAATGATCTTTAACTACTCTACTAGATCTCTTTGCAACTTTTCATGTATTATTATTAAAAGATCTCATAAAAACTTTATATTTTCTCAATAGAAACTAGACCATAAGATCAGTTGTAACTTGTAACCTCCAAAAGTTTGAATTGCTAAGCCAAAATGGGAAAAGGGGATATATTATGAAAATGTCGAATTTAGTAATTACCTTCAACTTTGCATTTTTTACTTAATTTCATCTAATTGACAAAATGACTCAAAGGGTTGAGACACCCAGCAGTCGACTACAGTAATGAGCAGTTATATATATATATATATATATATATATATATATATATATTGTCTTATTTTCTCCTTTCGAAAATAATAGTTGCACTAGAAATTAGTAAAAGATAAAACCGAGATGAAATTTCTTCCATTTTTTGTACAAAAAAGACAGCTAGTGCCTAAAAAAAACTGGAACTATCATATTCACGATAATTCCGGTCTTAGTAAGTCTCTTCCATGTTCACTCCGCATGAGAGAACTTACTTAAATTTGATTTACCTATGTATGAGCTCTTGTAGAAATTGAAAAATTTATACCAAACCCTAAGGTGACATTCATAAAAATAATTTTTTTTCTTACTCAGACTACTTAGCAAAGGTTCACCTTTTCTTAATGTTGTAAATCACGTTCAGATTAATTTCCTTCTAAACGAAATATGTTTATTTAGTGAGTTACTTATTATGATATATAACGTTGATCCAATATTTTACAACCTTGTACCACCGATTTGATGTTCACGCTAGTTAACTTTTGGTGGATGTATAGATTTGGACGCACGACATATACGTCCCCGTCCAAAGAAAATCATTTTACTGTTTCCCACGTTCCCTGGTCAAATCACCACTGTATCCATACTGATACTATTATCACAAGTCATAATTAAGCAAGTTGTCGAAATCTACAGCATTAAGTTATGCTCGAAATTAGTTAAAGAGCTCTCCTTTGCATGGTCTCGACCATCATATAATTGAGTCACACGCATTATCTTTGTTGGACGTTCTTCTCAAAAGAAAAATACTCTACACTACATAATTACTAGCTTACACTAAGTGAAACACTAAGTGAAACGGATTTTTTTTACATGTTATTTAATTATACACTACATGATATTACTCGTTTTTTTCAAAGACTAAGATTATTATGTGATTCCATGTATTTGTTCATTAGTTCATTAACCAAATGAAATTTGGCATCGTTAAACATACCATAGGCATGACCCATTGACCTCTGCGTTTTGTTGTTGGTATTAAAATGAGATTGTTAGGGAAGTCACGCACCGATTTGTTGGAAGTTGAGAGAGAGAGAGAGAGAGAGAGTAATAGAAAAAAAGATAAAGGTTTGCTTTTAAAGCTCAATGATCACATGCATTTGTATCCATCCATCTTCTTCTTCTTCTTCCCTTTGTTATTTCTTCTTCTTCTTTCAACAGCTAGCTAGAATTACTAGCTGAACTACACTCCCAACTCCCTCTCCTACCTTCCATTTTTTGTTTTTTTGGAGTTTTTCCTCCTTCTAAGTTTTTTATTTAAATTTCTCATCCTCACAAACTTCCACCTCAAACTCAAACTCCTAAGTTTGTTCACTCACTCTTTCCTTCCTCTCCCTTTATCCCTTTCCTCTCAACTTCTCTCATCTTTCATTGATTAGATTTCAAAATGAATCTTCCCGTTTTATTTCTATACTCTCTCCCTCTCCTATACTTCTTCATCTTCCTCATCAAGTTCATACACAAAAAAAGACACCAAGATTGTTACATCCTAGACTACGAATTGTACAAACCCACGGATGACCGGATGCTATGCACGCGCTTTTGCGGCGAAGTCATACGACGGAACAAAAACCTAGGGCTCCGGGAATACCAGTTCCTCCTAAAAGCCATCGTGAGTTCCGGCATTGGCGAACAAACGTACGCGCCGAGGATGGTTTTCCACGGAAGAGAAGAATGCCCGACTTACGAGGAGGGGATTGAGGAAATGGACGAGTTCTTCTTCGACAGCATCACAAAGCTATTAAAAAGAACCGGAATTCCTCCGTCGGAAATCGACGTCCTAGTGGTCAACGTCTCCATGTTGGCCGCCGTCCCTTCGTTGGCTTCCCGAATCATCAATCATTACAAAATGCGAGAAGACATCAAGACGTATAATCTCACCGGGATGGGATGCAGCGCAAGCCTGATCTCGGTGAACATAGTTCAAAACATTTTCAAAACACAGAAGAACAAGAACGCCCTAGTTATTACATCGGAGTCTCTGACTCCAAACTGGTACGCCGGAAACGACAGATCTATGATCCTCGCTAACTGTCTGTTTAGATCCGGCGGTTGCGCGATGCTTTTGACTAACAAAACGGCTTTGAAGAGAAAGTCCATGTTTAAGCTCAAATGTCTGGTTAGAACTCATCATGGTGCTAAGGATGAGGCGTACGGATGTTGCATTCAGAGAGAAGATGATCAAGGCCGGATTGGTTTCCATCTAGGCAAGAATTTGCCTAAGGCCGCCACTCGGGCTTTCGTCGACAACCTGAAAGAAATCGCCCCGAAGATTCTCCCCGTCAGGGAGTTACTTCGGTTTTTGGTGGTTTCTTGGGCTAAGAAATTGGTCAAAAGTTACAGTAACACCAGTAAAGAAGCTGGTGTTGGTGGTGGTGGTGTTGGCAGTAATAATAATAATAACAACAGCAGGGCGGTAATTAATTTCAAGACGGGCGTTGACCATTTCTGTATTCATACAGGTGGGAAAGCGGTGATTGACGGAATCGGGTCGAGTTTGAGTTTGAGTGAGTACGATCTGGAGCCTGCCCGGATGACGCTTCACCGATTCGGCAACACGTCGGCGAGCAGCTTGTGGTACGTTTTGGGTTACATGGAAGCGAAGAAGAGGCTGAAAAAGGGTGATAGGATCTTTATGATTAGCTTTGGAGCTGGCTTTAAATGCAACAGCGGTTTGTGGGAGGTGGTAAGGGATTTGGATGGTGGAGATAATGCTTGGAAAGACTGTATTGATAACTACCCTCCTCAAACCCTAGCTAACCCTTTCTTGGAGAAGTTTGGGTGGCTTCACAATGAAGATCCGGACACTTTTTCCGTCCCGGATGATTATGTGATACCATAGGTTTTCGTTTTTTGTACAATTATTATTATTGATTGTGTTGATCTTCAATCTTGATCATCATTTTTACACACGTACACACACAACACTACACTACTTTTACGATCATTTTCTCTTTGTACTCATAGCCCTTTCAATACTTTTTCATTTTTCTTCTTTTTTTTCACTTCTTTGGAGGAAATTGTTATTACCTTGTGTATTTATTGATTCGGTAAAGTGATTAGTGAATGGTGTGACACACATGAACATACGTATAAGATAATCAATTGAAAAGTATTTATGTCTTTTCATATGTGTCATAACAATCACTGAACATATTTACTGTAATTTCCATAATTTATCTTTAGTAGTTTCTTATTCCATAAATGTAATATACCAGCACAGTTCATAGTCGTTTTATTCAATTTTTGGATTCATATTGTAACAAGATACATATATGGCTTCTCTCTCTTTTTTTTTTTCTTTTTTGATAATTATATATATTCATATTGTAACAAGATACATATATGGCTTCTCTCTTTCTTTTTTTTTGATAATTATATATAGAGCTTCTCTAATTTGGGCAAGATGGCCTACTAGTTATAGCTAGCTAGCCACAAACAAATAGGAGGAGTACGTTAGCTTGCTTTTTTGCTCTTGATTACGTACTGCTCGAAACTTGAAATCGTGCAAAATTATTATAGTACTTTCATTTTCGGTTTAATGATCATTTGATTTTCAGTTCTGGTTTATATTTGATACGTGGGGTTGGTTGTGGAGAAGTGAATGACCAAAAAGGTCAAAAATCTATAAACAATAGATTCAGAAAAATCGAGATCATTTGTGTCAAAATTTTTCATGTATATTGTTGGAATTTGAGCTAATGTGAATAAGAATTTTAGTTTCTCATTAATTGGAAAATGAAATTAGATACATGAACCTATCTTGATTTATTTTCCAAGTAGATGAAGAGTCCTTGCAGATTCATTTGAATGAACTAAATTCATGAATCAATATTAATAGGATGTAAGAGGGATGAATGTTCATATTCATAGTTAGATTAAGTTCATGAATGAAATCTCTTTGGTTTTGGTGAAACATTGTATCTAACTAAGTTAATTGAATTAACTTGGGAGAATGAATAGAACAATTTTACTATTTCAAGTAACTCTTCACCTATAAATAGTGGCTCATTTTTAACAAACAAATCATCCAAAAATTTCCAAGCTCTCTTAACTTTCTTCTTAGCCTTTCTAGCCCATTTTTCTTGGTGTTCTTTGAATTCTAAGGTTCTAGTTCGCTGGTGAAGATCCTTAGTGCAAAGGAATCTTTACGAATTCGTTGTATCCTGGGAGATAGAAGCTCACTAAATCTCTTGCACATTCGGGAGAGGGCTAATCTGTCTTAAGGAAATCGTATCTTTCACGAGCCTCGAATTTCCTCCTAATCTTTCTATCTTCTATTCTTGTCATTTCGAATACACTATCTTTTAGTATTTACCCAACATATATGTGAGTTTTAGAAGAGAAAATTTGCACCGAATGAATCCTTCTCTCTTCCTTCTACTTTCTTAGTCTTCATCCTAAAATTACTCCATTTCATTTTTCTTCTTAAATTTTACAATTAAATCTCATAATATATATATATATATATATGTATATAGACTATTAGAATGTTATAATATTAAAGTCTCTAGTAGAGAAGTTATAAATATTATCACTAAATAAGTTATTAGTTACCTTTGCTTTGGATCATTATATCTAGATATTAATTTTTCACAACATGTTATCAGCACGACGTCTCTGCAATCAACAAAAGTATAAAATTTCTTACCCAGTATTTACATTTCATATGGATGATTCTATAATACCTCCTAATTTATATTCAAGTCATTTAATTTCTTGCCATTGATTTAAAAGACTTGTCCTTGCTCAAGTCTTGAGTTTTATTTTTTTAAGTAGGACGCTCTAATATATCCGTACGAGTGTACTTATATAATTTATATTCTTGTGGGATGATTTGATATATCTCCAGTGCATTTATTCTTTTTTAGATTTTTTTTTACTTATTTTGTTACCATGGAATATTTTCCTATGTCCCTATATACTCTATCTAATCTATTGTAGGATGGTTGATAAATTCCTACTACAATTTTTTGTCTCTAACAAATTGTTTACTCTCAATTTAATTGTGTACAATAAATAAATATGTCCTCATTCAATTATTACTTTAGTTGGTTTATTTTGATTTATTTGAATTTAAAAATTATCTATGTATAAATATAATTATACTTTTACATATAAAATACGTATATAACCGCTATTTTTAACGGATATATTAACAGCTATATAACGGTCGAAATCTTAAATTTTCTCTATAAATATATCATTTCTAAATCTCATTTACACACCTTCACAATATTCTCCTTCTTCTCCTTCTCATTTTCTAAGAAAAAAATGTCTTTACTTTCTCTCTTTTACACGACAATAGTTAGCATATATATTGTTATGATATTTTTCCGAGAAGAATTTGATGATTTTATTTTTCATTTATTTGTTCATATAATATGTATTTTACCATTGTACTTCATTTCTATATTTACTGAATAAATTGTTAACATTATTTATTGTAAGATTTATTCATTATTAAATGTAACTACGAGTTTTTTTCTTTATCCTAGTTATCAAAGATGTCAAATTTATCAAAGCTCGAGTTTGAAGCTCTCAAACACACTGGACAAAATTATATGTGTTGGAAAATAAATGTTATGACACATCTACGATCAATGGGTCTCATAGATACTATAAAACCAGAAAATACTACTACAGAAAAGTAAGGCAACTGTGTTGATATTACTTCGCAAACATTTTGATGATTGTTTGCAAAATGAATACATTGATCAAGAAGATCCAAGTGTTGTCTGGAAAAGTATTAATTCTAGATTTGATAATAAAAGAGCTGTTATATTACCAAATACTATTGATGAATGGAAATCAATACAATTTCAAGATTTTAAAAGTGTGGATGGATATAATGCAGTGTTCAAGATTGTTTCACAATTAAAATTTTGTGGATATCTAATGATTGAAAAAGAAATGATAGATAAAACTATATCAACATTTCATCCATCTGGTATTATTCTTTCAAATGCTCATGGATTGATGAAGTATGAGTATTATTCCGATTTGTCAACAACACTTTTGCTAGAAGAAAATGCCAATAGACTTTTGATAAAGAATCATCAATCATGACCTACTGGCTCTATGACATATCCTGAAGCAAATGCCATAATTCTAGGATACTCTGGAAATTTTAATAGTCGTGGACGTGGCCGAGGCTGAGGTCGTGGTCATGGTTGCGGTCGTGGTGATCATAACCATGGCGGCCGTGGTGGTCGTGGAGGCTATGGCGGCCGTGGTGGCTATAATGGCCATGGAGGGAAACAATTCTCTGGCCATAATCATGGTAATGCCCCATATGAACAAATAGCTCACCCTCAAAAGAAAAATAAAATGACCAAGAATGATGCTCCAGAAAAATCTCAAAAGAATGCTGAAGATGCATGTTACAGGTGTGGTACTGAAGGTCATTATGCAAAGGTCTGTAGAACTCCAAAACACCCTTGTGATCTTTATGCTGCATCAAAAGGTAAAGGAAAAGAAGTAAATTTCAATGAGCATATTGATCAAATGGAGGATAATGGTCAAACTCAGCTGAATGCTTCAGATTTTGCAAGTGAATTTGTTGAATTTTGAAACTATCAAATGTATTTGAATGTTTCTATTTTAATAATGATTATTTTAAGAACTAAAGCACCAAATAAATGATTGTGTTGTATATGGTTCTATTTTGATGTAATTGTATTGTATTTTAGTTGTAATGTATTTTGTTTTATTCAATAAACTTGTTATCTTTCATACATTATTTTGATTATTTATCTTTCTTTTGAAGTTTGACATGGATTTCAGTAAAAATCAATATAAAAGAAGCGTTTGGGATTTTTGTATACCAGATAGTGGTACTACACACACTATCTTAAGAAATAGAGAATATTTCTCTGAAATAAAAACCAACAAAGGCACTGGTTTATACAATATCAGGTCCTGTAGATCTGATTGAAGGAATTAGTAAAGCCAAAATTACATTACCAAAGAGGAACAAAGTTTGAAATTGAAGAAGCTTTGTTTTCTCCAAATTTTAGGAGAAATTTATTGAGTTTTGATGATATATACCAAAATAGGTATGATACACAATCTATGACTATAGATGGTGTAAAGTATTTAGAAATCATCATCTATGAATCAGGAAAGATTCGAACACTTGAAAGATTGCCACTCTCAAACGGTTTACATTATACATATATAAATGTGATTGAATCACATATGGCAATGAAAGAAAAAATTTTCGATCATTCAATAATAAATTTATGGCATGAAAGAATTAGGCCATTCCGGATCAATAATGATGCAAAAATTTGTTGAAAGTACACATGGACATCCATTAAAGGGACAAAAAATCCCTCAAAGTAATGAATTTCCATGTACAGCTTGTTCTCTCGGAAAATTGATTATGAGACCTTCACCACTCAAGATTCAAAATGAGTCACCTATGTTTCTTGAAAGATTTCAAGGTGATATATGTGGACATCCACCTTGTGGACCATTTAGATATTTCATGGTTCTAATAGATGCATCTAGTTGATGGTCTCATGTATGTTTATTGTCAACTCGTAATGTTACTTTTGCAAAATTTCTTGCACAGATTATTAAATTACGAGCCCAATTTCCTAATCATACAATCAAAAGGGTTAGACTTGACAATGCTGGTGAATTTATGTCTCAAGCATTTAATGATTACTGTATATCTACTGGAATCATTGTTGAGCATCTTGTTGCTCATGTATATACACAAAACGGTTTAGCAGAATCGTTGATTAAAAGACTAAAGTTAATTGCTAGACCATATATCATTAGAACAAAGCTACCTATTTCAGTTTGGGGACATGCAATATTACATGCTGCTTCACTGATTCGTATAAGACCTAGTGCGGATCACAAATACTCCCCATTGCATTTGGCATTTGGACGTGAACTAAGCATTTCACATCTTAGAGTATTTGGTTGTGCTGTATATGTACCCATTACGCCACCACAGTGTACAAAAAATGGGTCCTCAAAGAGGATTGGGAATATATGTTGGGTTTGAATCACCCTCTATTATTAAATATCTTGAGCCTTTAACTGGCGATGTTTTCACAGCACATTTTGCTGACTGTCAATTCGATGAAATTATTTTCCCAATATTAGGGGGAGAAAGAAGAGATGTAGTTAAGAAGATTGCATGGAACGAATCATCATGGTTGTATCTTGATTCTCACACAGAACAATGCGAAGCAGAAGTGCAAAAGATTGTACATTTGCAAGCAATTGCAAATCAATTACCAGATGCATTTACTGATACAAAAAGTGTGACTAAGTCACATATACCAGCAGTTAATGCTCCTCCTCGTATTAAAATCCCAG